TACCTATGGTAGCCAATCATGATAACCTACAGCCGTCTATCGAACCATTTCAATCTCAGCTGCACATTATTTTCAAATCCACCCTCCACGTGGTGCAAGAACCATGTTTTTTCCCAAATCCACATGGACACCATCCAAGGCTGCCATACATCCCTACATACTGAAAAAATGTGAGAGTATGAACAGCCAAATTTCTCAGCTGTCTTATCACGCACGAGAATCCTAATCTCACAAGAATATCAACCTTGAACCTACTCAAGAAAGACGATGCCATAGTTATCAAGAAGAGTGATAAAGGTTCAGGTGTCATTTTGAATCGAGAGGATTTTATTTCAGAAGCGGAACATCAACTGAATAATCCTAAGCGTTATGCTATTTTTGCAAGAGCCCATTTTCAACGAAATTGCTTCTATGATCAACACCATCATTCGCAATTTAGTCCAATCAAGTTATCTTAAACGTCGTCAGGGACATTTATATACTTAACCCAAGATCCATAAAAATCCTGCCAAAGAGTGGTTTATCCCTAACCGAATCCCGAAAGGTGTCTTATGTAGTGTCAGAATACACTAGCATGCCAACATCGAGCCTACCTCCTCCAAATGCAATTTTGATTTCCATCGACGTGACATCTATGTATATTAATATCGATACTACATGGTTAGTTGCAGTCCGTAAAGCGTTGGAAAGAAACCCGGACCCAAACAGACTCCTGAAGAAATTCTAAGCTCCTGGACATTTGCCTTAGTCGCAATGATGTTGCAGTCATTTAACGGTAAAACATATCTGCAAACTTCCGGGACTGCTATGGGCAAGCGTTTCGCCCCTTCGTACGTAAACCTTTTCATGGCTGAGTGGGAACGTGAGGTTTTATCCCTTGACTCATTGTTTTATTGTCGTTTTCTTAGTGATATTTTCTTGAAAAATACTGGCTAAATGGGATGACAACCACTAAGACCGAGTGTCATGATATGATAGAGAATGTTTCGAAAGTATTAGAAATTTCACAAGATAGAGTCAAGGAAAGATATGCTTTCATTTATTTTGGGAGTAGCATGCCGACACTATCATAATGTAGGCCTACACCGGGTCCACAGAACATACACCTTCAGAGAATATTCGATATATTAAAGAATAACAGCATTTTGGATGTAAATGGTTTAAAAAAAAAGCTTTTTTGTGCTTATATAATTATAATTCAATCACGATTCAGTTTACTCAGTATCACGCAATTTGATCGAGTGACTAAACAGAAAAAGTAAATAAGATGCGCTCGTTCACAGAGGACTGCCTTTCTATGGAATTTGATTACTGCCGGCGATAGCAGTTAACATCAAGTCAGGAGTCATAACATCCATTATACCCTTAGGCCATCTATGTCACTTCTATGTTACCATCAGATAGATCAAAGGATGGTGATAAGGTAGCAGCCGCTACAGTTACACCATCCTAAGTTCTATCTGTAGCTTTACCATCTGCAGCCTCCAACAGCATAACCTATAAGATCACAGCACTACTGTGCTGTTTCTTTATTTCAGATTTTTGCGCAACCTTCTTTACATTTTGTGAGGAGATTTCAATGGTCACCATTCTTTCTGGGGCAGCTCCGATGATAATAGCAGAGGAAAAATAATAGCTGACTTCATTTATGACAATGATCTTTGCATTTTTAATGACGAATCGCCTACGTATTTCTGCTCAAAAAACAAAACTTTTTCTCATCGAGAAATGAAGTTGTTTTGTGTCGCTCTCGTCTTGGACATACTCACCTCACCAACTGTTATTTGCTCAAGCGAGAGCCTCAACCAGTCTGTGAGCACTGCCAGATCCGTCTGACAGTGAAACACATTCTGATTGAGTGTAAGCATCTCAAACCTGTAAGATCACAGCACTACCGTGCTGTTTCTTTATTTCAGCTTTTTGCGTAACCTTCTCTATATGAGAAGGTTGTGGCTTTTTAAAAACAAGCAGGTCTTTATTTTAAATTTTAAATAGATTAGTCATTGTTTGTTTTACATATTTTGTTTGTTTTTAATACCACCATGTGGTGTATTACCCGTGATATTGTTTTTAGTGTTTTTTTGTAGTCATTAATTGACTTTGTCTGTGATATGGTTTTTATCGTCTTCTTTTGTTGTCACTATGCGACCTTTCTGTGATATTGATATGTGTTTTAGTTTTTTATTATTTTAACGTATTCTGGAGCTATATAGCCCGTTTGGCGCTGAAGCTCCTTAATGCATTTCATTTCATTTCATTTCCAACAGCATAATTCATTGCCATTTTACAGGCACATGAGTTCTTTCATTCCTCTACATCATTAAAAAAATGTATTATATTTTCTGATTCTTTGTCCTCATTACAAGCTATTAATAACATCCAGCTTGTACACCCAATAATCGGGGATATATACAAGCTCTCTGGGCCGAAAAAGGACATTGTCCTTTGTTGGCTCCCCCTTGTCTTTTAAATCTGTGATAAAGTCATTTATTCAACATCGATGGCAGCAAAGATGGGATGCTGCAGACACTAACAAGCTTCATGCCATTAAGCCTCTCCTAGGAGACTGGCCCTCCTCCTATTGTGCCAACAGGAGAAATGAAGTTGTTTTGTGTCGCTCTCGTCTTGGACATACTCACCTCACCAACTGTTATCTGCTCAAGCGAGAGCCTCAAACAGTCTGTGAGCACTGCCAGGTCCGCCTGACAGCGAAACACATTCTGATTGAGTGCAAGCATCTCAAACCTTTGAGATCCCTCTTTATGAGAAGGTTGTGGCTTTTTAAGATAGTCGGATCTTTATTTTAAATTTTGAATAGATTAATCATTGTTTGTTTTTAATATTTTGTTTGTTTTTAATACTGTTTTTATTTCAATGAGCAAATTTTACTCTAGATGCAGTGCTAATTAAATTATGAATTATTGGGTACACATATCGATGAGAATACAAATACAACAAGCAATGTTAAATTACACAAAATACAAATGAAATGAAATGCATTAAGGAGCATCAGCACCAAACGGGCTATATGGCTCCAGAATACGATAAAATAATAAAACATTAAAACAATATAACACCTATCAATATCACAGAAAGGAATCACATAGTAACAACAAAACAAGACGATAAAAACCATATCACAGGAAAAGTCATTTAATGACTACAAAAACTACTAAAAATAATATCGCAGGTAAAACAAAATATATACAAAATATATGATTATACAATATATAGTATAAAATAATTTCTGTATCGCCCCACATTTAATGTATTGGGCACTATTTAAAATATTTTGATATTGAAATTAGTGTAACAAATAGTTAGACACTATAATTGAATTATTCTAAGAAAAAGGTAATACACTCTTGATGGTCAATCTGTAGTACATTTTTCACAGTTTGTATTTCCGACCTATCTCTCCATAACTTTATTCTGAAAAGTAATTGTCATTTTTATTAAATGCAATGTTGAAAAAATATTAAACCAATAAAAGATGGTGAATTGTAACACATGAAATCTACATATCAATCATTACAAACTGAAGAAAAAGATTGATTAAAATTTTCAACGAACTAATAAAGATCATAAATAGCATAATGTATCATAATTATCTATTCCTCATCATCAAACATCAATTTGGTAAAACCTGATATTTGTACCTCTGTTAACTTTTACCAAGATTAGCATATGGTCTAATATCATCTATATTAGCTTCGTTTCTATCAACATTAGAACTATTATCTGATTGTATTATAGCTGTATTGTTGACTGTATCTAATTCTTGATATGTTTGTGTGTCATCTAAAACAAATAGAAGGGAACTTTGTGACTAATACAAATTAAAAATTAAATTAAAAATTTTAGTTATAAATACATTTGCAATGATTTTCGTCATTCTTGTTGTCACGCCTTCAGATCATCGACAAGTGATTTTTGGTGAAAGCATTCAATATTCATCCATTTGTGCACTTAAATTCATTTAGAAGATATTTTGATCAATAAATGTTTCATGATTGATTTTGACCGAATTTAGTGCATTTTTGTTAAA